CTTCCAGAATTGACATCATTTTGTAGTCTAATAACATAACCAATTCTAGCTCAAATGATCTCAAATTTTAACAAAATGTGTAAAACTTAAGTTGACTATGCGAACTTATCTCAATGATCCAGGAAGATGGATCGAGCGTGCCAGGGATAATGACAATGTGCTGTTGAAATAGCCACCATATTCACCTCACTTGCTACCTTGTGATTTTTCTATAAGGCTATGTCAAAGGAATGGTCTATATCCCCTGCTCTTTCTACAAGCCTAGAGGAACTTAAGCAGAGAATCATTGAGGCGCTGGAGAATGTTACACAAGACGTGCTACAATGTGTTTGGCAGGAGCTGGACTACTGACTTGACATGTGTCGTGTCACATGTAGTGCGCATATTAAACATCTGTGAAGCTTTGTGATATCGGCTATAAAATCTACATCCTTTTGAATAACTTGTTTGAATGTTGATAAATAAATCTTTTATTGTCCAACATGAAACCTATTTAATTTCGTTTACCTCGGACATGTAGTTACTTAGATAATTTACATTATTAAATGTAATTTAAATTACATCAATTTTTGAGACATCCTAAATTATATTATATGAATAAACTGAATTGAAAAAATAGAAAACAGGTGAATGATTTGTGCATGTAGAGATGTCAATTTTTGTACGTACGCGTGTAAAAGGTTACGAATAAAAATTGTGAGTAACTTACAATTGAGAATAATTCTTTGTTGGTTTGGTGAAATTATTAGGTATACATGTGTTAAGCCAAATAAGCTTAGGGCATTGTATGCTGCATACTTCCTTTGCTGTATTCAAGAGAGAGAGAGAGAGAGAGAGAGAGAACAAAAGATGAGAAAGTGTTTTCATTTTATGTTGCTTTGGCAACGTCATCTCGCGGTCGTAAGCATTTCTTTGCAGACAAAGAGGGTAATCCCACACCCTTAATGAAGGTGAAAGAAAGTGGAACTGATCAGATTCAGTCAAAATGAAGTGTTTTTTTTTTGTTTTGTTTTGTTTTTACTAATGTTTGACATATAAAAATCTCAAGAGCCACTCAAGGTAGTGGATTACTGAAGTAGGCCGTTGTATGATCGGTAAGAGATAAGAAGCACAGTTATATATGGAAACGCTGACAAAAGAAATTAAGATTGTAGTTGTCAGGAAAGCATCATCTTGGGAGTGGGTTCGTAGAAAAAACCTGTTCGAGTAGAACTTCCTCCCTATTAATGGAATATGAAGGAAATGAGGATGATTCAACTACGTGTGCGTGGCATGGCGGGTTTTAGCTGTGAGGGTTAGAATTGGCGGAACTAAGGAATGTAGCTCGTCAGAACATTTTCCATGGAAATAGCGACAGAGTAGCGAGAGGCTTACAACGTTTAGTCTGTGGGAATGGTTGCAGGATAGAAAATAATTTATCACCCACAAGGGCGAGTAGACGCTTTTGAACTCTATCAAAACTAGAAGACTGTGTAGCTCCAACCCAAATATGTCAGTAATACTCCATTTTTGGTCTGATCTAGCTCTTGTAAAAGATAGAGCATGCTAGGAGGAGTTAGGTACTTTCTGGAGCGGTACAAGGAGCCGACCATTTTCCCGGGCATCTTTAGCGATGAGGTCTGGTATGAGTTCAAGGCAAGTGTTCTCTTTGAGCGATAGGCGAAAATTCGGAGTGTGTTCGGTGATGATATAACTAGTTTGGTCTTTGGCGAACATTTTAGCCGTAGCGTGAGTTGTGATTTATATCATGGTCTTCGTATGCACCAAAGTAACTTCCTGTTTGCTGTCAGATGTTAATTCCGTTGGACAGGAAAATTGTAAATTTTAAAATCATTATTTACTTCCGATGATCTAGTGTCCAAAAGTAGCCGGGTTGATCAGTAAATCTATACACGTACAAGTTTTTTCAATTATTAAACTGCATAAAAGTATTTTGAGGTGTGCAGAGAGCCAAAAAATATTTTAATGATATCTTACATGCACGCTTAAGTTTGGTAGCTGTTAGACAAGAAGCTCCATATATATCTTGATTCTTGAGATATGAACCTAACTATATATGGAGACGTCACATGTCTGACATTTTTAACTGAAGTGAATTTATAAGTTCTCTAAAAATGGGAAGGGAGAGAGTTTGTGAAATATGAAGGAAACTTTTTTCCTTTTTTTTTTCAGAAATTAGGAAGAAACTGTTTGTGTTACGATTGTTTGTAAATGTGTCCAAACAAAACTTGATTTACAACCTCATAATGCTCTCGATAGAAATCGTTTAAGTTTTTTTTTTTTTTAGCGGGGGATATTATTGAATTGAATATTTAGATTTTATGCAAATAGTCGCTTGTGTAAACTAAACAATTAAAGAAAAAAAGACATTTTAAACTTGATGTTTAATTTTGTTGCCATAAAAAGCGTGTTTCATTCATTATAAGATTAAAAAAGTTCAAACACTTTTCGGGTATCTCATATTTTACAAGCATGCTTGTAAAGTTCTCGTGAAGGGAACGCTCGGTTAGCTTTCAAGTCAAACGGTTTTTAAAGAACTTACGTCTGTACAAGACGAGCCGTGAGATTTACCTTCTGTTTTTAGTTTATCTCACGTTTAATTTTAATAGTAGCAACAATAGTAAAAAAAAAAAAATTGTTATAGATTGTTAATTTATAAAAATCTAATTTCTTAATAAATTATAATTACAATGTTGAAAAAAAAAGTTCGTTACAGTTTACACCAAGAGAAAAAAATGTCATATATCTTTTTTCCATTAATTTTCCGGTGCAAAAAGAGAGAGAGAAGAACCACCTTTACAATCTGAATTCGACATAAATTTAAAATTAAAGACGGTTATCAAAGAGCAGATTCAAAAACACTCAAAAAATGCTATATTAAAAAATAATTGTTTTAAATTACACTACTAGAGAAACTCGTTAGATTACTTTCTTCGAGGTAACTAAAGTTAAAGTTGTCAAGAACAAATAAATAAAAAGGGCGAATACATATAGATACCTTTTTTCCTTTATTTACTACTAACGATCGATTATGAACACTTTATTGCCCTCGTAATCCAACCCATAACCTATGGGTTGGATTATGAGGGAAATAAAGTTTCAGTGAAACGTATTTAAAAAGGATTTTGAAATAAAGAAAGGTGTGCTCTGCATGAAAAGAAAAATAAACTAAAAAAAAACTACCACCTGCTAAAATGACGTCAGCCCACACCAGTCGAACAGGTAGACAAAGTGCGGGGAGTCCTCGTCCTCTACAGTGACCGGCCTGCCAAGACCTGTTGAATTTGACAGCATTTTATTTTTACATTTCCCCCTTTTTTTTTAAAAAAAAAAAACAAAAAAATTATCGGTTTTCGGCGATTGTATCTAATCTACTTAAAAACTTCTGTACCTTGATCCGACGAATAGATAATCAAAACCGACAGGAAGTAAAAGTTTTTTTTTGTTATTGAATTTTACAATTTGTTCAGGTAAATGGGCGTGTCGGATGATAACCCCAGTGCGTTGTCTTCATACCGGAGTTCTGATCTATGTACAACAGATATGATTATGACGTCTTGTTCTTTTATTGTGGATTGCCTCACGAAAACAGGTGAGTTTTTCTTTTTGATGACCACCTAACGAACCCTGTTGCTTATTTGTGAAAGTGCGTTTAATTAAAGTTAAATTCTTTTTTAATATATATTTCTTTTCCGCGTGTGACGCTGCCGCCATGTTTGTTTCTTTTTTAGGTTTTTTTCCCGAACCCATTTCATCTTTAGTAAGAAGACAAGTATTTTTAATCTAAAGAAACAGAAACACTAAAGTATTATCTCCTGTGTACAACTATCTCTGGTTTACCAGGGCTTTAAAAATGGAATTTAATAATTAAAAATACCACTTCCCTTTTTTTTTTTTTACACTGAGCGTTTTTACCGGTCATTAAAAAAAATTAATGATTGACTGACTCTTTTTCAGTCGATAAATTAGATAGAAGTGTAAGTTTAGTACTTGGTTGTTTGAATAATCAAGTTTATAATCTATCTGTCTACGTAATTAATTCTGTTGCTAAATTACTATGATTTGGGTGAAAAGGTTTTTAAAATGATATATTTTAATCATTTAATGCCATATGCTGGATTCTTGAAATGAAGGTGTGTTAATTGTTTTTTCACTTAAGTTTGTTTGTTTTTTCGTTTTTTTTTGTTTGTTTTTTGTTTTGCTAAGTGCTTGTTAAAACGAAGAAAATGGGAGGGAAAGAAATTGAAACTATTATTTTCTTGTTAGCGTTTTCCTCGGATCTTGTGATTATTTTAACTGACTAACAATTAACCTCCAACAACAAAAAAATCAAATAGAAATAACTTATAATTAATTAGAAAGCTGAACGTGTTAACCAAGAAGAAATGCCAGTAAACTAAAGTTTAAAACAAATTTATTTTATTTATATTGGTCTTTCTTTTGTACTTCAGTTTTTAACTAAATTTACAACTAATTACAAAAAAAAAAATGCTTAGAAAAAAATAGTGAATCTTTTTTTTTTTTTCTTTTTATAATTTAAAAGAAAATATTCTTTTTTTTTACTCTTAAATTAAGAGTCTTAATTAAATAAGTCAGTCTTCTTTACTAGCTATTATGATTTTTTTCAGCTGTATAGAAAAAATCAGATAACAACTGAACAATTTCTTTTTTCTCGGATAAAAGCAGTTTCTGTTCTAAGTTAAAAATTCAAGAAAACTTGAAGATAATTTGTTGGCCACCGCCTCCGTCTTTATCACAAAGATTATTAAAATTCTTGTCATAGCAGATAGCTTATTTTTTTAGTACACATTATTACAATTGTCGACACTTATGACTTACATTTTATTTATTAATCATAGTTCTTTTGATAAGAATACTGAAGAAATTAGAAAAGGTAGTACAGAACTACAATGATACGGTGCTATGATCGAATTGAAACAATGATTTTTTTTTTCTCTCAATGTAAAAAAAAAACAACAAAAAAAACACGGTGGCTTTCCGGCCGCATCACGTTGAAACACCGGTTCTCGTAAGATCATCGAAGTTACGCAACGTCGAGCCTGATCAGTACCTAGATGAGACCGGTTGGGAATACCAGGTGCTATAAGCTTGGATATGTGGATGGTGTAAATGGAATCCGACTCTGAATTGAATCTCGGAGAGCTGAATTCCAATTCCAGTTAGAGGTTCGTTATTTTCACTTATGTACAAAATAACCTTGAGAAAGGTATAAATCCACCTCTTCTCCCTCCAAGCTATGGGGTAATTCGTAGGACTAGAACCTACAAATCATTTTTATCCCCCAAATTCTTATAATCTAAAAATATTTTCTGTCTTTAAATAAGCTGCAAATGGTGGATAAGTCATAAAAATGCAAATCCATTCATAAATCAAAAATCGCAGTGTGTCTGTAGCATGTTTCAGAGAGCACACGTGTTATTTCATTGATAGAGTGAGCCAGGGAGCAACAGTTTGATCCAAGACGCTTTTTTTCCTTTTTTTTTTTTATATTTGCTATATCCTTTCAGAATGTAGACAATCATGGCTCACCACAGATATATCTGTGAATTCCTATAACTTCTTCGGGGAAAATAATGGAGTGGTTTCCTGTTGTCTTCTCTGCTGTTTTGAATTCAGAATAGTTAGTCAGTCTTAACTGACTGCCATCAAAGTCTAAAGCAGTGGTTCCCAAACTTTTTTCTCTGGGCTGCATTTTCGGAATTAAAATTTGCTTGCACCTCACCAAATTTTATGTGATAAAAAATTACATTTAAAAAAAAAAAAAAAAAAAAAAGTGGGTTAAATGGAGATAACCGCAAATTCGAAGTCGGAAAATTATCTATAAAAGGCAGGATGTGTGTTTGTGTGTAACGAATGCACAGCCGCAATTCTCGACGGATTTGCACAAAAAATTAACATGCACATGCTCCAAGTTAGCGAGATGGCCAAGACCAACTTTGCATTTCCCAACTCCCATCGATAGTGGAAATAATCGATTTTTTTTTCATGCTTCTACGGCAGTTTTCATGTAGTTTGTGGCCATTTTCTACTGGCCAGAGTGAGAGCCTATAGCTGGCTGCCACGAATAGGCAGGAAGATTCTATTGGCCAGCGTGAGAGCCAACGGCTGACTGACACGAATGTTAACTAGCATGCTAGCATGCAAAAAAATCGATAGCTGCATTCGCCACAAGTGGGAAAAATTTAAATCTGCATGGCACTTTACTCCAATTGGCTCATTCGCTTGCTTAAACTCAATGTTGATTCTGATTCCGCAGAACTGGGTTGGGTGTGAAAAAGTATTTGTTGTTACATTCTTTTTTCATTCAGTTTTTCCAGTTATGAGTCCTTTTTTAAAGCTGATCGTTTTGTGTTTATTTTGTTTAGTTCTTTTTTTTGTAACAGATTTAATGTTTAGTATAGAGCTTAGAAAAAATTTGCAGTGTGAGATAGGCAAGAAGTAAGGCATGTAGCAACATCAGCACGGCAAAGGGCAATCCTTTAAAGGCACAGAAGGACAAAAATATTTTAAGTCAAGTGATAGCGATTGCTGTATGAGTTGTACAATTTTTGAATCAAGCACAGGCAGGCAACACCGGGCCATGCTGCTAGTCATTGATAACTCTCTCCGCCAATTTGTGAACCCTACATACTATATTCTTAATACTTACTTCGTATAATGCAAAAATATGATTATGATAAAATCTGTCAATAGTTAACTATTGGAACTCCTGCATGCTATTACAAATAATCCATAATAATATTTTAAATTTTGAAACCATATTTATTTTGGGCATATGAATTTTTTAAACTGTTTTTAAATCTTTGGTTATCTTTCAATCATTCTGCTTCACTTCTTTTCTGCCACACCTATGAGGTACGCCACACTGTTTGGGAACCACTCACCTAGAGAGATCAGTCTACCCTGCTATCTAACATATAGCTGAGGTGGGAGTTGGAGAAGAGAAAAATTCATGCCTTTTTACAAAGGCATTTGTTTGAAAGTTCAACAGAGCACAGTAGGCAGTAATTTTAATTCTGTTTACTAATTCAGTTTTCAAGCTGATAACTATTTACACCCCCCCCACCACCACCACCACTAATGCATAAATTATAATAATAATCTTAATGGATGATGTACAAGTAATAAAAATAATTTAAAAATACCAAATCTCCAGCAGTTTTTGCAGATTCTGAAAAACAAAACATGAATACAAAAATATTGAAACTATTATGAAAAAGAATATATATATTTTTTTTATTGACTTAAGAAAGGATTATAAAACTTTTGGGATGTTCATCTTGCAAGCAGTTAGGAGGGATGGTGAGGTTTCAGAACCCTCAAGAAAAATGGCTTTGTGGCAACATTGAGATAGTTCAATTTGTTTTCAAATTTTCAATACCCCCTTCTCTTATATATGTGTGTGTGTGTGTATATATATATATATATATACCTTCAGAATCCTGACTCCAAAGTTTCATAGGCAGACCCAATTGCCCAGTGCTATCAACAATTGACTGCTTATATTTCTCAATTTTTCTTTTTTCTGCACTTATCATTGGTGCAAGTTTTTTTTCCATATTGTTTATGTGCATTTGCACACATGCAGCTATGTGTGTTTTATATATATATATAAAAATTCATTGATGAATAACAAAAAATTCAAGGACAGCTAAAATGTTTTAGTTCTACTTGCAGTAAACACTTTATTGTTAATAAATAAAAAAAAGTATAACAAACCCCAATAAAACTCAACACTGCTATTATGAAATTTTTCACTCAAGAATAAAATAATTGATTTGAAAGATTAAAAATTGCTTCACTAAATTTTGTTTTGAGTAAACCATTTAAAAAAGATTTTTATTGATTTTTATATTGTCTGTAACTATTAATTAAATTTCAAATTGATTAACCTGAAAATCAAAAGATAAAACTTAAATGTTGCTTTTCTTTTAGTCCATTGTATCTTCAAAATCTTTACAAAAATATTGATCTAAACCTGCCTTGATTTTACTTGTTTAGTCTTCTGTTTGTTTTTTCTAATTTAAATAAGAATATTTTAGTCCTGTCTATTGCTTGGTATTGAAAATATGCACCTTACTGAATGTGCTTGACTTTCATTGAAAATACTGCTGAACACAAGTCAAACAAATACTCTTCTAATCTCTATATTACACTCGCTTCAAAATCTTAACCTAATCTTTGATTATTGTCCTTTTTGCATTCCATACCAATGCATACACCTATTCTTTGCTAAGTTACAATTACATTGCTATTATTGTGGAGCAAGGTGTTTTACTTATTGTCTTTAATTATATATCCCCACTAAATTCCTGGCCACCAGTGTATAGCTAAGTGGTTAGTGCTATAAAACAGAATCTTAAGTTCTACAACTATACTCAATGCTTAGCTGGTTATGTTCATTAAATGATAGTTTTCATTAAGAAAGCAATCTCTGATTTGAAAATTAATAATGAGGTTAATTATCAATTGATAACAAGCAAAGACCTGTATATATATATATATATATATATATATATATATATATATATATATATATATATATATATAAAATTTTGGAGAAATTGTATGACAAAGTGGAAAAGATTATTTGTGAAACATTTTGTCCTTCTGGACTTCATCAGATAAATTTTTTATGTCTGTGATATTAGAAGATCTGTCAGGAATTGTGAAATCTTGTAAGATCCAGGGCACAAATTTACTGTAGATGACCTTGTGATGAAGGTACTCTTTAGATATTTACATTATAGTGAATTATTTTTTCCTTTGATTAGAGTAGCATTTTTTATGTCAAAGTTGTGGCCACACTTGTTACAGTGGGCAACCAAGGTATTTGATGTATTATTTTGTTAAAAGTTCCTTTTGTGTTCGTATAATCTTTTATTTAGATTCCTTGAGGTTTCTCCTATGTATTTTTTTTGTAACAATTGTTACAGGTAATGGGGTAGGCTTCTCCATCAGGTTTTATCTTATTGTTTTGTTCAGTATTGACTAAGTCTTTTATTGTTTTGGATGTAGTACTCTCCTGTAATGAGACTGACCACTATTTGTTATAAAAAATGCTACTCTTATCAAAGGAGAAAATAATTCACTATGATGTAAATGTCTAGAGAAAATTATAAAATTCCCAGCACCCCACTCCCATCATGTATCTGTAGTCCTACCAACATGACAAATTTAGTTCTGAAGGACAAAACATGCCACAAGTAATCTTTTTCCACTTTGTCATACAATTTTTCCAATACTGTTCTTGATATTCAAAAATATTGTTATATATAGTAGCGAGCATAAAGATCAGAACAATGTTAAGAAAAAGTCTAAATGTGAATTAACTTTTTATTTTAAAGCTTCATAGAACATTTTATCAATGAAAAATAAGGATATAAAGGTAAATTATATAATTACAAAATATAAAGCTCAAACTTATTTTGATAAAGTTATAAGAATAATTATATAACAATCGAAAAAATAGATGATCAAAAACATCAGAATGATTAAATAAATCCATAAAATTTAATAATTATTTTGCATTACTGAAAATTTTTAGGGTAAGAATATAAAATAGGGTATTTTACTAAATTACACTGGCTCTTCATTGGCTCTTGCATTGTAAACATGGCGAAAAAAATCTGTGACATCATTGGAACTTAAAAAACTGATAGTCAAGTTATGTAATGAAGATAAACTCTCAATTGGGGATATTTCAAAGACTGTGGGGAATTCTAAGTATTATTCATAGTATTTTAAGAAAACTTGAGGAAACTGGGTCATGTGAAGCCAAGAAACCACCTGGCAGGCCTAGGAAAACTACTGCACTGACTGAGGGACTGCCAACAAATCAAAAAAGTATCAATTTGTGATAGATACTGATATCTCTAAAAGAGCTAATGCTAACCATGGCATTAAAATATCAAGGCATACTATTTCCTGAAGACTTAATGAAATAAATCTGAACAGTCGAGTAGCCTCTACAAAGCCTTACATTTCTAAAAAGAATCAAATGAGCTGATTGAAATTTGCCACTAAACACGTCATATGGACTGAAGTACAGTGGGATTGTGTTCATTTCTGCGATGAGTCAAAGTT